TCCTCCGCCACCACCGCCATATCCAACCGTAACTCCAAATCCGCTACTGCCACCTTCCCCGCCACCATATCCACCAACAACATGCCCTAACACCGGGGCATTGACATAGGCATCATAAGCAATCAGGGTTCTGGCTGCAGAAGCTAACCCTAAAGCCACCAAAGCAAAGAAAGCAAGGCAATGCACTCTATGGTTCGCCATGGCCAAAAGATTTTATGCCTAGAATGCATCTTCTGATCCCTTTATATAGGAATTGGTGGAGTGAGGATCAACTTCTAAATGGGTTCAAACTTCAAAGCCACATGCAAAAAGGGCAAAAGGGAAAGGCTGGCCTGCCAATGGTGGTCAAAAGTTTTACATTGTTTTTATTACAACACAATGCCCTCAATTGTTTTCTTTGGTTCAACTAGATGTCAATCTTTTCGGTCAAAAATATACGTATTATTTAATTAGTTAGAGTAATTGGGTTGGAGGCCTCAATTTCTTGCATCACTTCCTTAGTTTTGTTAAGTATTCCAATTGATTTTAAGATAAAATGGATGAATATTGATAAGCTTTTGAGTGTGCCAATTTATTTTACCATCTCATACAAAAAAATAAATATATTATCTTACGGTAGGGGTGTTCACGAGTTGGGTCGGGTTAGGAACGGTTTTGGGACCAACCAAAATTTTGGGTTGACTAGAACTGTCGGGTTTGAATTGAATGGTCAACCCAACCCAACCCAATCCAATATTTTCGGGTTGAGTTGTCGGTTTTTATTTTTATTTTTAATTATTGCAACGACAAGAAGTTAGGATTAAAACTAAATGTATAAGTTAGGATTAAAACTAAATGAGATTAAGATATACGATGGAATATATATATATATATATATATTATAATTAAAAAAATACACATATATGCATAAGTTCTGGTTGGGTTGGGTTGACTCGACTTTTTAAAGGTTGAACCCAAGACCCAAATTCAACTTGAGGCTTCATCTAACCAATTCCAATATTTACGGTTTGGGTTGGATTCGTTAGGTTTATCAGGTTGTCGGGTTTTTTTAACACTCCTATCTTTCGGAGAAAAAGTTATATTTTTACCCCTATACTTGGGTCATTGAGTCAATATATTTTGAAAATAAAAACAWTTTTAACTTCATTAAATTAAACCATAAACTTCAACTACAAAATTAAATTGAAATTTCTTACGAACCTGCTAATAAATTACACAAATACTTAAATCAACTCACAAAAAATAGGCAAACCCAACTAAACCTAGCTACAAAATCATGTAGGTAAAAACAAAAAAAGTTCCAAACTCAACAATAAAACGTTGAAATCTAACTTCGGGATCAATTTGATATGATTCGTCCCTCGATCCACACTTTCAAACAACGTTGAGACTTTAGTCGCACACCTAACAATTTCATCCAATATGCCAATAAATTTATTGCATAAAGTTATCAATAAGCTTATTGATTTTTATTGCATGTTATGTTATTTCTAGCTAGATGGACTGACGTGACATTCAACTAATAGTTGGATATATGTATGCCAGTTCATTTACCTACAAGTTTTCAATAAAGTCATGAATCAAGCTTCATTGTATATCTGTTAGATTAATATTTAATTGCAGTAAAAAACAAGGGTTTGAACTCATTAACAAGTTCAGAAAAATTTGGCCATGACTTTATTTCAAGTCTTGTTTGATGATAGTTTTTTTCATCTTGAAAATAGCTATTAAGAATCTTTTTGATAATGCTCTAGTTTAATGTTTCGTATTAGTTGTTTTATTAGAAAGAAAATATTAATGCGTTTGGCTCTTTTTCCTTGATAAACCAAAATGCTAGGAATCATTTAAGATAAAAGGGTTCTTGATTCTGGACAATTCATTAATGTTTAAAAAAATTAAACACAGGGAAGTAAAAATAAAAATCTTAATTTTTTCTTTTGAAAAATGTCCCTTATATTTTCATTCGAGGGTGATTTCATAAATCTTAACCGGATTCTATTTTTAAATCGGATGCTCGTTTGAGCTTTTGGTCTCTCGTATCAATATTTATGAGTTTCCATCTCAAAACCAATAACCCACCTCATAAATTCTTGTTAGATCCTTACCTCTTTTAAGTTCACCAATCTTGACCGGCTATCATTTTTTGATCGGAGGCTCATTTTAGCTTTTGGGTTCTAATACCATATAAATGTTCATGTGAGTTCCATCTTAAAATCAATTGACAATGAAAGGAGTAGTCGACACTTATGTTATAAATTTTTGTTAGGTCATTTCTTTCAATGCGAGATTCTTAACCGTAGAAAAGAAAAAGATAATCGACAGAAATATGTCTAGCCACATGCCTAATCACTTTTTTTCTGTCGTGAACCCTTTGATTACCCATGTTAAAAATACCCAACTGCCATACTCTATAAACACAAACTATTCATATAGTTTGGTTGTGCTACGATCCCCATACTCGTATCGTCAAATAATTTTGCCTCCGATTTCGATGTTGCTACCTAATTAGATCATTACAACTCAACCGTCACCATTGTGAACTGAATCCTTGATTAATTAATGAATTTTTCAAAAAATGCTATGACATTTACAAGATCATATCTACAAATGTTTTAGAAACACAAAGGTTATAATTTGGTTAAAATTTTGCTTAGAGAAAAGGGCATGAGAAGAGGTTGCTTAGTGTGAACTACGAAGTAGAAAAGGCAGCAGCAAAGAGAGAATAGATAATGGACATTGGAAAATGGCCAGAACTCTGTCTTTTCTGAATAACGTGTGGGGTCCCTCCATCTGATATTGCTTCCTATAGTGGATCTCTCCCTTTTTGTTCATGCTTCATCTAATTTTCTTCTTCTTCTCTTTATATATATGTTCTAAATACGTCATTTCTGACGTCTAAATGAAATGCCATTTTAAATCCTAACTCAAATATTGCAACTCACAGGCACAATATTTATTAATGGTGTTGTATGACATAGAGAAGCAAATGAGATTATAAGCAACCGCGTCTAGGATGATTAGGATTTGAATTAAGATTTGGAAACTGGATTTGACACCTTATGATGTCACAAATGGTATCAGAGAGTTAGAAACTCTCCCAATACGATGTGGTATGGACCAGAAGAATCAAGTGGAAGTTGGTAGGAATGTGACGCTCGAGTACATTAATGAACCGACAACAAATATGAATAAGGGGATCCTAAGATCATGCAACATGCTTAAAAAAGGATTAAAAGAATTGATAGTAACTACATATACTAACAAGGTGCACATCCAATAGATCAATCATAAAAACTCTAAAAATTAAGTGTGTTTGGTTTGGAGAAATCGTAGGTGTTGTATATTGCAACTCACAAACACAATAATTATTAATAGTGTTGTATAACATAGAGAACGAAAGGAGGTAATTACATGCAACCCTCTACGCTCAGGATTCAGATTAAGATTTGAAATCTGAACTTGATACTTTATCTAAATCTTGGACCTAGGACGTCACAAATGACATTAGAGAATTAAAAACTCTCCCAATAGGATGTGCACCTTAAATGGATCCTGAGATCATGCAACAATGCTTAAAAAGGATTAAAAGAATTGATAGTAACCTTTTTTTTTATAAATTATTTAAAGAAGATCACTATTCATTCAAAAGGATATGAGAAACATACAACAAAGGGAGCACTCACTTTAAAGAGATGATGGAGATGTCATAATAATTACAAAGAGCCTTGATTTAGATGACCCAAAGAAAACAAGTCGTTTTTATATCATCCCATAAAAGAGTTGTAGGTCAATATTTGTCTAAAAAAAGACCTTGTTTCTCTTTAACCAAATAAAACAAAGGATAGAGCAAAAACCATTGCACCAAAGCATATTTATGCTGTTTGAGAGTGTGGCCGGTATTTATACATTTTCGTATGAAGGCATCAACACCCCACAGGAAGAACGATGTATATCTTTAAGATTTTGAAGAAATGCGTCCATAGGAAGGTTGAATATGGACAGTGGAGAAATAAATGATCCATAGAATTACTATTTTGATTTTAGAGAGTGCATCCACTTTGGCTTAACCACATGGAAGGAAGTTTAGTTTGGAGCCTATCATGAGTATTATTAATTCCTACCGTAGAAAAAATTTACATTTTTTAGAGGGACAAGAGTTGCCCAAATCTTGGATACTGAACCAAACAATAAGTTCCCACTTTGGCTTGCTAACAGATTTTTCATATACTAACAAGGTACATCTTTAGTGGCTCAATTGGCTCAATTATAAACACTCAAAAAATTAAGCGTATTTAGCTGGGAACCATCTTTACTGGTTGGGTGACCTCCGAGAAATTTTTTTGAAAAACATGTCCGCAAACACAAAAGAT